GTTCACCAACCAGCTCTCATCGTTTTCAAATGTTAACAGGAAGGTACTGTTCTTTCTTTCTTTAGTTTCCCTCAGTCGCCTCTTACGACACACACGGGATGATATGGGGCTTATGGGGTAGTGGATATCCACTGTACAGTAAAAACGAAAGTGCCGCTTTTTATATGTTATATTTTCTAATTTTATTAATCAAAAAAGTAAAGAAAAAGTAACATTAATTAAAATCGTAATAAAAAAGAAAGGAGATTATAATTCATCAAAAAAGATTATCATTCATCGTGGTTGCCGTGTACCATAATTCATTTCATTTTTAGGTTCGTAAATTAAGAAATTTTTATTTCACTTTCAACTGCACATTAATATATAAAACACAGTTAATTAATATACAAAATAATAAAAAAAGCGTTTTTGCCTTTATTTCTAAAACGTAATGATTATATTATCTCTCTTTGATAATTTTGACTTTGGCTGTATGCAGTATGAAAGTATAATAAGCGAATATTTTTATTACTTTTATAAGCCAGTCATCTTAGTATTATTGTAACAGAATACCAAATCTATTATTACGGATTAATAATTTTATTGCTTGACATTAGGTACTTGATTATATTGTATATAATGTCGTACAATATAATCAAGTACCAAGTATTGTTAAAAAAATATAATTTTGTTTTGCTTATGTATTAATTGATTATAATTCATGATGTATTCTATACAATGTATATTGTTCTGAATGAATTGATTTGATAAATTAAAAATTAAAGAAAAATCAGTGCTTGACTACTAATCCACCTGATGGTAAGCGGTGATGTAGCCTAAGATGGTGAAGCGCACTGACTTAACGAAAGCCTATTTCACTCTTGCCTTGAAAACAACCACATTGCAATCGGATGGAAAGACAGATGCTGGCAGATTCCACTCCTTTGGTGTACACATTATGAACGACAGTTGTGTTTGACACTGGCAGTATGAATGTAAACAAAGCAGGTTTTATTTTATCTAATGCATTTGTAACACATATTATTTAAAAAAAATTGGCATTCTGCAGTCCTTCTTTACAAAACCTTTAACTTTACCAATGCTCTTATTTCTCCGTACACTTAATACATTATGCTTCAAAAGGGGTACAAAATTTTCTTTCACGTCTATATACATAAAATTTTTGTAACCAATTATAAAGCGGTTATTTTTTTCTACATAATATATTGTAACCCGAAGGTATTTCAGTCTGGCGTTTCTTTATATATGAATTTATCAACATTAATCACTTGATTAATGTTGATAAATTCATTCATGACTTCATAGCAATTATAACTAGCAAGTGCAAAAATATGAGTTATATAATATGTATACACATATTAAGTATACACATATTAAGTATATGTTTAAGATTAATTGTATATGAACTGAACTGGGTAAGTGGCGTTAGTACGAATCTCTGAGAGATGACTACATATTTGTGCCATTTGCTGTAGAGACGATCGGTCAGTGGGGTCCACGTGCGGTGAAGTTCCTAAAGGAACTCTATCCGCAACTGGTCATTGCTGCTGGTGATAAAAGGGCTGGTTCTTTTCTCGTTCAAAGGCTAAGTCTAGCCATTCAGCGAGGAAACGCAACCAGCGTTTTTATCACGATACCACGGGGAGTAGGATTGCATTATAATTAAGTTATTAGTTATAGTTTTTTTTTAAATTATATTTTGTAATATTATTGTAATTAATAGTTTTTTAATATTGTATATATTTCAATGTTATCTAAATATTTTTTACTAATTGTATATTATTTAGTAATATATTTCGATATTTTTAAGTAATTGCCATGTAGTGGCGGCATAGTATAATTTAGTACCCCATATCATATCGTAACCAAACCCGCAACAGAATAGACAAATGAATATGTGAATACTGTGACCCATAGATAGCTTCGATTAAAATTTTTAAATATAGATGCGTTGTCACACCTGAGGGTTTAGATGAAATGCCTCGTTTCCAGTAAAAAGGGTCTCCGGTTCCCTGCACTCACCATACGTGTTCCTTGTTCTGTGAGAGCATGGTCCTGCCCCGGTGGAGTCGATCGAGTAGTGCTGCTACCATAATAGCTGCGGCGGACCTCTACCAAGAGGCAAAGACACAAATGGAGGCGTCGGGTAAAATTAAGACTACAATAAAAGAAACGGTACTAAAAAACTTGGCGTCTCTCTATGAAATTGTTCTTCAATTAAGTGAATCGAGACATACGTTATTACAGCGACTGGAAAAATCTAGGACAGGGCATGGGGTGCCTAATACTGAATTAGAAAAACATTACACAGAGGCAAAAACTAAAACTTGCAACGAACCTGTTGCCTCTGCCACCTCTGACAAATATCGGTCCATTACTCTTATGGAAAAACTAATAGGAGAACTGCAGGATCACAGCAAAAATGTAAAAGAGTGCAAGCAATATACACTTGCACTCACGGAGAAATTAATGACAATCCCAAGTACACATAGTACTGAGGATAACAGGACATATGCAGATATCCTGCAAAAAAAGAAACAGTTGAACACTCTACAGAAGCCTTTACACTCTGTAGCGATCTCCTCAACTAATGAGAAGAACACTAGTGATGAAGTCATCACTAAAATAAGAACAGCCGTGGACGCTAGGAACAATGGTCTGCATGTTGAGAAACTAAGGAAGGCAAAGGATCAAAAAGTCATAATAGGATGTAATTCAGAAGAAGAATTAAAAAAAATAACAGATGTAATTAAGAATTCGTGCGATAAATTAAATGTGGAACAAATGAAAAATAAAGACCCTCTAATCATCCTAACAGACCTGCTATCCTACAATACAGACGAGGACATAATTAAAGCCCTAAACAACCAAAATAATCACTTGATAGGAGACATTGCGAGTGAACAGAAAATAATGGTGGTTAAATATCGAAGAAAAACCAGAAATCCTCACATGAATCACGTAATACTGCAAGTGTCGCCACTCGTTTGGCAGCGGCTTACTATGGCAGAACGAGTACACATTAATCTGCAGCGCATATGAGTAGCCGATCAGTCGCCACTGGTACAGTGTAGTAGATGTCTCGGCTACGGACATGGGCGAAAATATTGCATAGAAAGCATCGACCTATGTAGCCACTGCGGGGGCCCACACATGCGATCTGAGTGTGTAGACTGGCTTGCGGGTGGAACCCCATCCTGTCTAAATTGCCAACAATCTAAAATAGATAATAACAGCCACAATGCTTTTAAGTGTCCAGTTAGAAGAAGATGGGATAATTTAGCACGCTCTACCGTAGCCTATTGCTAAGGACACCACAGGCGCATACTATGTCAACACCTCAGCAGCGTCCTCCAAAAATAACAAAACATACAAGGCAATACAGGCGAACCTACAGAGAAAGAAATTGGCAACACAAGAGCTAATAATTGAAGCACAAAAGCGGGGGATAACTTTCACCTTGGTCCAAGAACCATATGTAGGAGCCGTCGGGGAACTCACACTGTCTATGGGACACAGGGTTGTCCAAAAAAATCATGGTAGAAGTAAGCCTGTGAAAGCAGCTATAATAGTGTTTGATAACGAGGTGGATGTTATCGAATGCTCCACACACATAAATGAAAATATAGCAGTGGCAACACTTAGAACCAGTGAGTGGACAGTATCCGTGGCCTCTATATATTTCGAGGGTAGTTTGCCAATTGAACCTTACCTGGACCAAATAAGGGCAGTTAAAGCTAAACTTAACACCAAAAATATTTTAATAGGAGGAGATGTGAATGCCTGGAGCACATGGTGGGGAAGCGCACATGAAGATCACAGGGGAGAGGCACTTATAGGAACTGTGGAAGAAATGGAAATGCAAATTTTAAATGAAGGTACCGTACCAACTTTCTTCACAATTAGAAATGGGGAAATCTATAAAAGCAGAGTCGATGTTACCCTATGTACTCTAGATCTTTTAGGTAAAATAACTGAATGGCAAGTCAACACTGATATTACTAGCTCAGACCATAATGCAATTACGTTTAACTTAAATTGGAAGATACCAACTCCAAATAAAAACAATCTAAAAACAACTAGAATATATAACACGAAAAAAGGGAACTGGACAGCATTCAAAGAAAATATGGAAAATAATCTAAAAATTAACAGGATAAACAAGAACAGTATTAGAATCATAAGAACTAAACAGGAATTGAATAAAAGTATAAACAAATATATAAAAATCATAGAAGATACCTGCGAAAAAACAATCCCTAAAATAAAAAATAGAATAAATAATCGAAATGACTTACCTTGGTGGACTGAAGAACTGGAGACACTCAGAAGAGATACAGTGCAAAAGAAAAGGAGGATATCTTGCGCAGCGCCACGTCGCAAAAGATACGTTGTGGACGAGTACCTGAAATCAAAAGAAAAATATGAATTAGAAGTTATAAACACACAGACGCAAAGTTGGAAAAAGTTCTGCAGTACCCAAGATAGAGAAAGCCTCTGGGATGGGATTTATAGGATTATACGAAGAACATATAAAAGACAACCAGATGTGACAATAATTAAGGACGGAGATGCCTTAACTCCTGAAGGATCAGTGGAACTTTTGGCAAATACTTTCTTCCCAGATGACAAAGCAGTAGATGATAATATCGACCATCAGATAATTAGAACTCTAGTAGCGGATAAAACTCAGACATTTCCAGATGACGAAGATGACCCCGAATTCACAATGTCCGAACTCAGAAATACTGTGAATAGCTTTAATCCCAAAAAAGCTCCGGGGCCAGATGGATTCACAGCAGACATTTGTGTCAATAGCTGCGAATGAAGAGGTTTTTCTAGAAATTCTAAACAAGTGCCTAGAACTATCATATTTCCCCACCCCATGGAAGGAAGCTGCAGTGGTTGTTCTTAGAAAACCTGGAAAAACTGATTATGCTCAAGCTAAATCATACCGGCCAATAGGACTGTTGTCTACTTTAGGAAAGATAATGGAAAAAATGATGGTTAAAAGGATCCGTTGGCACATTCTTCCTCGGGCTAATAGCAGACAGTATGGATTCATACCACAAAAATGCACTGAAGACGCTCTCTACGATATGTTGACTCATATTGTAAATAATATGAGAAAAAAATTTATTAACATAATCGTCTCCCTGGACATCGAGGGTGCGTTCGACAGTGCATGGTGGCCTGCAATAAAATGCAGATTGCGAGAGAGGAAGTGTCCGCGAAATCTTCGGAGATTGATGAACAGCTATCTGGAAGACAGAAAAGTTCGAGTCAGGTATGCGAACAAAGAATATATAAAGGTGACAAATAAGGGATGCATACAAGGCTCAAGTGGAGGCCCAACGTTTTGGAATATCTTATTGAACCCACTATTGGATGAATTAGAGAGGCGCGGGATTTACTGCCAGGCATTTGCGGATGATATCGTTTTGGTTTTCTCTGGAGAATCAGTCACGGAGCTAGAAAGACAGGCCGACCAGACGCTTGCCTATGTGGAGGCGTGGGGTATTAAAAATAAACTAAAATTTGCGGCGCATAAAACCAGTGCCATGGTTGTTACTAAAAAATTGAAATTTGAAACTCCGCGGATCCACATGGGTGAAGTAGAAATACAAATGGTTGACCAAATTAAAATGTTAGTATTAGTTAGTAAGTAAGTAGTAGTTAGTAGTATAGTATAGTTGCAGTAGTAGAGCCTGTTATATTATATGCTGCTGGAGTTTGGGGGGAGGCAGCAGGTAAAATTTCAATTCAAAAAATGCTGAATGCAGTCCAAAGAGGTTTCGCACAAAAGATAGCAAAAACATACCGCACAGTCTCCCTCAATGCAGCACTGATCCTTAGTGGACTTCTTCCGCTAGACTTGGGTGTCAAGGAGGCATACGAGCTCTATGCAGCTAAACGCGGGAAATCACAACACATCTTAGAGGATAGGAGGATAGAGGAGAGAGCTTGTTACTTAAAATCTTTACACCCAGCGCAAGAACCTGATTTTGATTTTCAATATCTGGAGGACATGGAGCCCTACACCAGGACACTACATAGTATCAGCGGTCCAGAAGTATATACCGATGGAAGTAAGTTAGATGGAAAGGTGGGGGCTGCATTGACTCTATGGGAAGACGGTGCTGAGATTACAAGCAGGAAGTACAAGCTCGAATCGTTCAGCACGGTTTTTCAGGCAGAAATGTTTGCACTTTACCAAGCAACAAACATTGCACTGAAAAGTAAATGGAGAACGCTCAATATTTTCAGTGACTCACGATCATCACTAGAGCTTCTGAAAAGCCAGAAATCCTTCCACCCTCTTGTGGTAAATATAAGGCAGAACATCAAGACCTTGGCGGATAAAGGAAAAGAAGTTAGATTGTTTTGGATCAGAGCACATAGAGGCAATGAGGGAAACGAGAGAGCGGATCAGTTAGCGAAACAAGCGGTGCACAAAAAGACAGCACCGGGTTATGACCTATGTCCATTGTCATATATAAAAAAAAATAAACAGACATGACAGCTTACAAACGTGGAACGATAGGTACATCAAAACAGCAATAGCGGAAGTTACCAAGCTCTTCTTCCCGAATGCAATACAAGCGCACCAGATTTAAAAAAAAATAAAACTTACCCCTGTACTTGTGCAGGTGCTGACGGGTCACGGTGATTTCGGCCAGTACCTGCATAGGTTTAAATGTAAAGATAATCCCGCATGCATATGTGACCCTGATGTCGAAGAGGGGATAATCCATTTAATAGTAGATTGTCCAAAATACAGCTTAGCCAGAAATGAAATTGAAATAAAAATAAAAGAAAGAGTTCGAAAAGATAATTTGTCGGAAATAATGAAATCTAATAAAAAAAATATATTTATAGACTATTTATGTAAGATAGCCATCGAAACTATAGCAAGAAATAAGACTGCATAGTACTGTTGTAGAAATAAGGTAGATATAGGAACATAGAATAAGAAAATTTTGTAAGATTATATATGTTGTATATATACTACTTGCAAAAAGAATATTGCAAAAGAAAGAAAAAATGCAAAAAAAAAATACAAGAAAAAAATCAAAATAAAAAGATGTAAATAGTCTAGTATATATAGAAAAAAAAATGTAAAACCATAAGAAAATATGTTAAGTAGTCTTAATTTAGTATAAGAATATGTACATCAGGGTCACCGGTGTATGCAAATGTATACACTGAGCCCGTCTAACAGAAAAAACCTGGAATAAAAAAAAGAAGATATTCCAAAAATGTTTCGCTATGCAATGTCTCTGACCAGTGTCAGAGGTGGAATAGAAAGACAAACATATAAAAAAAAAATAGCTGCGGCGTGGCCGTACTAAATACAATATTATTTGCACATGATGGTCAGCAACCACGTTTACGACCACAACACTAACGAGGCTGTCACTCTCTAAATTGAATGGTTAAGATATCTAGTAGCTGTGTTTCGGCTGCAGCATGAATGGCCTAGGAATATACTTATGTGATTACAAACTTGGAAAAAGAAGAACGCCCAACACTTGCATTGCATTCTGGCCCGTAACCTAATTCAACCATGTTTCGATCTGACTTCTAACGTTGGTTTTAAGTTTGGTATAAATGAGAAATAAGAAAGTGCTTAAGTGTCTAAATCTGTCATTAACGATAGAAATATGATTTCGGATGTTTCAAACCGACATTCGCTGACATTGATCATTGTTTTTGTAACCCGAGTAATCTTATTTCTAATGTGATCTAGTCCAGCGCACACAACTTCTGTTGTAACTGTAGACGTGTGAGAGTATTTATGTCATTATTCGAACGTTTCGTTATTCGGGCGTTGCTTTGGCTTTTTATAAAAATTAATACCGATTAAAATAGGCTTCTGATTTTTTTTTATAGAATAACGAGCACACTGTCCACCTGATGGTAAGACGATGCTGTAAGAATCAAAATGCAGATACGTTGTCAACCAACATGAAACTACACTACTCAAACTTTCAATTAAATGTTATTTGACAAAATCAGATCAAGACGTTGTGTGTTGGCAACGCTTTTGAACAATATTTTACCGACTTTCTGATCTTGACTACAAAGTCACTCAATTCCTCCTCTGCTGTCGCCGAGTCAATACTCAAACAAAATGTAAATGTTTAAATAACACTAGTTTTACGGATTTTAGCGCGTATATTAACTTATTTTACATTCCCAACGTTTCAAGCACTTTACAGCACCCATGGTCACGGGGGGGACTGAGGTGTATAACGTCCCAATGTCATAGTTAACCACGGCTACCTCCAGATTAAAAATGTTCGCGTAAATATAAGAAATCATTAAAATGTAAATGTCTGTACAAAAGAATTTGCATTTCATAGAATATTATCAGGTGATATTATAAAATATTTCAAAACTATTGATATTAAGAAAACAGCAGATCTATGGGGGATTTCTGTTAAAGTGGTTGCGTCCATGATAGATGTGATCTTACCCCAACTTGCTATTATTTTCAATGCTAGTATCGAATCTGGTATGTTTCCTGATTTAAAATACAATTTAGCTATACCGTGCATGTGGTTGTTCTTATTCCAGTGTGCCCCTCGTAAGATATTAAAACATTCTAATTTGAATATTTTTACGCGGTAGCGTCAAGCAGCAGCTATATCAAGTATGCAACACGCTCTCATGGAATACCGCTATAAAATAGCAGCCCAATACTGTTGTTTCGTATAGTGGGTGAGATGCTCTTTCTGATAATGATGCATTAAAGAAAGACGACAGATTTCGATTCTTAATCTAGGATAGATCTAAATATCTATGGGCCACAATATCCACTTACCTTCAGTTGGACTGTGCGCGTTTGTCACCTTAATAAAAAATGGCCAAGTGTAAGTTGGGACAGGCGATTATGGTTTCGGTGTGCAAATTATTAACGAAATCTATATACAAATAAATAAAATTGAAGTGTCTGTTTGTAATATAAAAATAACAGCTTTTTACTAAATGCATATGAAAGTACATATATTATACGGTGCTAATAACAAAAAAGCAATTTTTAAAATTTTTGTTTGTCTGTTTGTTCCAGCTAATAACCGAAACGGCTGGACCGATTTTGACGGGACTTTCACAGATAAACAGCTGGTGTTATAAGTAACTTAGGATACTTTTATTCTAGAAAAATAAATAAGTTTCCGCGCACACAAATTAAAACCCATGAAATCGTAGTAAATTCCACGCGGCGAAGTCGCGGGGGACAACTAGTCATTCATAAGAATTAGTTTTTGACATATACACAAATTTTGCAAAATTTTTGCATTTCCTAATTAATTATACGAATAGAAAGCACATAAAATATATATGATAGCGTTTACTTATAACATGGAGAATACATATTCGATATATATTCATTTATCTTATGATCAAATCAGTAGCAGCCTTAAGAGATGTGGGAAGTCGATGGATGCAGGTGGCTCAGGACCGTACTTTGTGACAATTTGAAGGCCTATGTTCATCAGTAGACTTGTGATGGGATGTAGTAATATTGATAGTGAATGAATGACTTGAAAATTGAGGATTACGCTAAAAAGTTTTAACAATTGTAGATAATGTTTACTAATAAATTAATAAATGTTTGTTTTTTAACTTGGTGCGTAATACAAAACCGGAAGGGATTTTTGAAGTAAAAATATATAGAATATCGTAACATACAACCAAATGGGTTCTGATGGGGCTACTGTGCTATTGCAGTGCGTATCTAATGTAACGGATACTTAAATCTCCCAAGGAATGTCTACCACACCTGCGTCTATCGACTTCCTATATCTCTGACCAGAATAGAATAGAATAGAATAGAATAGAATAGAATAGAATAGAATAGAATAGAATAGAATAGAATAGAATAGAATAGAATAGAATAGAATAGAATAGAATAGAATAGAATAGAATATTTTTTATTCAATATACATTACATGTGTAATTCTTATTGAAAGTCATTTTTTACTTTACCACTGGTTCGAAAAAAACCCTCTGTCCTGGGAAGAACCAGCAAGAAACCCAGCGGGACTTTTTTTAAAAAAATAAATTTTACAATATAAATGATTACGAACTATTTACAAAATTTATTTTAGAAACTGCTTGGAAGCGATCACCTCATTCCCAGGGGTTATTATCAACCATGTATTCATTTATACTATAATAACCCTTTTTATACAGTTTCAGCTTAATAAAACATTTGAACTTGGTAATAGAGAGAACCTGTACACTTTCCGGGACCTTGTTGTAATAGCGTATACATTGCCCCAAGAATGAATTACTGACTCTGTGGAGTCGAGAAACTGGTATCATTAGCTTGTGTTTGTTCCTAGTGTTTACAGAATGTATATCACTTCTTTTACTAAAACTATCTTTGTTTTTGTGAACATATATTAAATTTTCGTAAATATACTGAGAGGCCAAAGTTAATATATTAATTTCTTTAAATTTATCTCTAAGGGACTCTCTCGGTTTTAGATTGTAAATAGCTCTAATGGCCCTCTTCTGCAAAACAAAAATAGTTTCTGAATCAGCCGCATTTCCCCATAGCAAAATCCCATAAGACATTATGCTATGAAAATAACTAAAATAAACTAATCTAGCTGTCTCGACACTAGTGAGACCTCTAATCTTTTTTACAGCATAGGCT